GGATATTGACATTTAAATTTCGAATAGCAGAAAGGAATTAGCAAGCCAATAACATAATAAAAAAACATTTTCATCTCGTAGAACCAATTCAATGGAGAATATAGAGCCAGGATTAAAACGATCCGATTTTTCCCACATACGGACAACGCGAACTTTCAACTTCCATTGCATCTTTGATATAGTTATATCCTTGATGAAATCATTGTTAGCGGCCATCTTTTGGGTAATTCGTAATTTTTGTTGAAATCTTGGTAGAAGAACGAACATTAGAATTGAAGCAGTTGTACATGTGGAAGAAATATATATTTTGAGCTTTGAGCAGTTGATACCCAATATAGTAAATCGTGGGTTTGACAATTCAAAATAAGGTGACTTTGCAGAGAGAAAACGTGACTTTGCAGATAAAATTTAGGGTTAATTAAAGTTAAAATTTGTTTACCAAATTTTGTGGAGTAAAACGATTCCGGTCACGTTTGTTTAAAAATAATTAAAATAAATTTAATTTAGATATATTAATGGAAGTTTGAACGGTTTTTTTTTTGTTTTACCCACGTTCAAGTAATGCTTGTTATTCAATTAATGCTTGTTAAACAAATTATTTTACCCACGTTCAATTAAGGCTTGTTAAACAAATTTAAATTAATAAATAAACGCAGGGAATCTTTAGCGGCGGTTTCGGAATAAATGTAAAAAACCATTCATTTAATGATTTTAAACAAATTTAAATTAATTAATTCGAAGACAATCTTTACCGGCGGTTTTAGAAGAATTTTGCAAAAAAAATTTGAGTAAATAAGTTCTATCGAAAATACCTAATGTAATTAAGATTGTACTTCGTTAGTTTATTCCTAATATGTAGGAGTTTTGTCCGAATGTGACATGTGTCGTGCTTGCATTGTGACACTTGGCTAATGAGGGGCTTTTATCCCCTGCTTTTAATTATAGAAGATTTAAATTAATTAATTCGAAGACAATCTTTACCGGCGATTTTAGAAGAATTTTGCAAAAAAAATTTGAGTAAATAAGTTCTATCGAAAATACCTAATGTAATTAAGATTGTATTTCGTTAGTTTATTCCTAATATGTAGGAGTCTTGTCTGAATGTGACATGTGTCGTGCTTGCATTGTGACACTTGGCTAATGAGAGGCTTTTATCCCCTGCTTTTGATCATAGAAGATTGTGATTGCGCCTTATAAATCGCATGAGCTCTTACGACTTATAAATCGCATGAGCTCTTACGACTTATAAATCGCATGAGCGTACTGCGACTTACACTTTTCTCAATTTCCGCTGCTAGAAAGTCTAATTTCAACAGCTCTTGTCTTTATACCTTTCGCTTATGCCCTCGAAGGGATAGAAGAGACGAATCGAAGAAGAGAGCAAAATGAGCGGAGCGCAAGCAATGAAGAGAATCCCACGCATCAAATTTCCACAGAGGCACTCTAAGCCTTCTGGTATTTCATCATCCATATATCCTCTATTTCTACTCGTTCGCCCGTGTATTTTTTTCTCTGTATTTAGGAATATTTTGATGGATTCTTCAGTTCCGGTATTCGGTTTTGGCTTACGTTTTAGAGCAGTATCGTATAGATTTTACCCGATCTCAACTAGTTTGGGATTGAAGCAAAGTTGATTAATTGATTTCTTTTGTTTACTCATGGTTGTATGCTGTTTCAATTAAATGATATATCTCTGAAAGAAATTGTTGGCTAGGAAGGAGGGGGATTCGGGATGGTGGTTTAGGATCCCTAATTTAGTTTGCTTCGAAACTAGAATTTGTCTATAATTCTAGAAAAATACTAAAAATTGAGGTCTCAGGTTGAAATCAAAATGAAAACACACAATACCACGTTATTCCTCCCCCCTCTGCCTAAGCCTTGGTGGACAAAGATGTCCGGTGACTGTGCTGGTGGGAGGTAGCAGATACCCGGTAGAATAGTCAAGGTGCCTGCAAGCTGGCCCCAACACCATCGTTGTCCAAAATGAAAAAAATAAACTGGAAATTAAGACCAATTGCGAGTAGTTTTAAAAATAAGAAGCATCTTTCTTTCTCTTTCATTCATTCACTTTCTTACGAGCAAATGTGGAAGAAGATGAATTCGTTGCTCAAGTTCTAAATATCTATTATTGGGGTGATCTTGCTAAATCACTCCGCTCTTATTGCCTAGAAATTATGTGAGTTTTTTTTTAAAACAAAAATCTGGACATAAACTCTAATTGCTCTACTGTTAGAGGAAGAAGAATTGACTACTTTGCCCAAGCCATCAATAAGCTATGCCGTGTCTCACAACCAGCAGATGATAGTCAAACTTTGGCTTTCATTAACAAACCCGACTTGGATGAAATAGAACATAGGCTATGCTCATTTGGAGCAAATTGGAGTTACGAGACATCTGGAGACAAGGTATGCGTAAAAGGAAAGAATTTATGTACATGGGAATACCTTCCCTCAGTTTAAGAAGTGGCAGGCTGATTCCAAATACTAATATCTCAAAATCATACTTGGACAGAGTGGCTCTGTTGTATGCCATCTGTTCAAGGATGCATCTAGATGTTTGTAACGTTATCAATGCTTATATCAGGATGTGTAGGTTTGAACCTAATGTGGGGAGTTTGTGGTTTCCGTCAACCATAAAATTCGGCTGGCCAGGGAAGTTGGGTGAATCCAAATCCAAAATCTATGACCCATTAACAAGATAATTAACAAACATTTCTGGTAAAAAATTGCAAAACCTCATGGCCCAAAAATAAGAGAAGGAGAGGAGGACCTACGTTTGAGAAACAGGAGACAACAACCACCTGCCTATTCTGGAGGAATGAGACAACTTATGGAACTTTTGGCAGGAAAGTTTGATGCCACCAAAACAAAATTTAAAAACTGAAGGACGATGTGGTTGCCAAAATCTAGGGACTAGAGGAGAGGTTGATGAGAAGCTAGATAGAATTGAAAATATTCAAATGCAATAAATGATCTACAACTTCACTTTGGTTTGGGGCCCCATAAACTTCACACAAAGAATGGTTTAGTCGTCGAATTACACTGAGCAATGAGAAATGCCAAAAAATGTTTTCTTAAACTTGATAGAAAAACTGTTTTCTCGAAAGCTGCGCAAAGGTACACTTTTTAGTGCTATGTTGTTGAGTACAAAGGCTGTCATGTTGGAAACAATTAATAAGATTCATTATAGTGATGCTTTTATTATGGAAAGTCTCATTGATCTAGTCTTTGCTCATCAGTGTTCTGTATCACTTAGTTCTTTTGACTTCATATTCATAGTTTCGTCTTAGCTGTAGCTGAGATATGGCCCTTGAATGCTGATGGAGATTAATGGCTGTTAGTAAGTTGGGTGAAACTTGTAGGGGTACTCACTTACGCTGGCCTTTAACTATCTGCATATCCTCCTACAAACCTGCCCTGTGCTATATCTACGAGTGCCTCTTAATCAACTGCAGCTCTGGTGGTGCTTTACTTGCCTCACCTTAGATAACATCATTCACCAATTTAGGCAGGATTGTCAAAATTCACCAATTTGCGTGTAGTCCAAGAAGTTGTAGTAAACAATTTCACGTCCTATGGTGAATTCACAGGTTGCTGGTAGTTTTAGTTTGTGCTCTTGCACCACAAATAATCACCATTGTTTCTTGTACCAGAATGCTGATCATTGGTCTTAGTCTAATAGCCTCCTTTGCACATTGAGGACTTCTCCCAGTAAAATGAGCAGAAGATCAAGTTTGCTATTTGCTCTCACCAAACTTTTACATGTATTATGTAATGGTATGTGTGGCTGAAGCTCAATATCCTCCTTTGGACATTGAGGCTTCTCCTCATGCACTAAACAAAAAATCAGGGTTGTATTTTGCCTCATCAAATATGCATTTGCGCTACGATTTGAAAATACAACTCCTAATATATACCCAAAAAATGCTAGGTAATTTCTTCCTATTTGTTTAAGTCTTAGCTGACAGTGTTACATGGTACCTGTGCTGGTGCCTTGTGAATTACTTGAGGTGCGCGCAAGATGTCTCGGACACCAACACTAAACCCCCCCCCCCC